TTAATGTTGTTCTGTTTTAATTTAGTTAGTTTTTAAGCGAAACTAATTGGATGTTGAATATTGTTTGTTCGCTGTCAGAGCAAATGAGTGATAAATGACGCTAAAAAATACATATGAGCACCTAAGTGGTCCAAAAAGATCACCACATTATGAAGTCATCAGTGTTTGAACAAATTTACGTAAAATTAGATTCCCAATGAAAAATTAAAATCTCCAAAAGTATTGCATCAGAAATCCTCAGCAGAATGTATGTGTAAATAAATGTATGCGGCCTTACTGTTAAGAGTTAATTCAACATATTTAATTGTTTCTATTTCTTATCTTTTAAACTCAGCTTGTACTATATATTAGAGCTAAAATTTAAACGTAAGCTTTTTAAGCTATTTTTCTGCAATACTAAAATTTATAAGAACTTATTTTATTGCTGCTTAACTAAGCTTAGGCCTAGGTTTATGGTCCCTACCCATAATATATTCAATTATTTGACAAATACTATTTGCCAACCTAAAGATAAACAGATGATAAATAATGCTGTTTAAGCTGCCCTTTATACTTTAAAGTTATAAAAATTGGAGAAAAAAATACATGAATCTGTAAGTAAAATAAATATAAATGAACAAAATTAATATTAATATTAAGGTGAAAAAAAGAATGAAAAACATATAGAATAGTTTAAAAATCATTACAAATTGACAAATGTGAGTTGGCAAGAAGAAGGTGGTCAGAAGCAGCGATTCGTTTGATAAAGTTCACAGTCTACTTTAAACGGCTCTACAAGTATTCATTATATTGATCGATAAGCCGGTAGTACAATACATCTGACATACATATATTTTGCTTAGATATTAGATATTTGCTGAAACACTAAAAGCGAAGAAAATTAATTTCGTAGACTCAATTGGGAGCGAAAGTTTAAAATGCTAAGCATTTGCCATCTATTTGAAGTTCCTTTTTTATAAATTGCAGTCCTTTTGTGTACTTATATTGTAGGTAAATACTTGTACTATCTAAAGATAAGCAGCCTCATGCCCCTTGACAGCATTTCACTTCCTTTATCTACTTAGCGCCATAGCGCCACGTAAATGACCAAACACCAGCGAAAAGCAACGACGCATAAAACGCGCATTAGCAAACTATTAGTCAAATCCCAGGAGCATCGTTTGCCACAGCACTGTCCGAGGCAGCCAAGCTGCCAAATAACAGGCGGCAGCAATTTCTTCTCCTGACAACGTCAGCTGCCGCCATTTGCAATGTAATTTGTGACGCCTAATAAAATGCCAAATGCGCAACAAAATAAATAAATATATATTTATACACACTACATATATAAATATGTATGTATATATATAAATAAAAATATGCATAAATTATAAGGCATGCAACATGGCTCACAGCACACAGCATACATAAAGCAGAAGAAGCTCAAAGTGTGAAAAATTACGTATACGCCCCCGCCACGCCACAAACGACAATGCGTGGCTGACATGCCCAATGACAATTACCATGGCAAGGAGCCGCAACCGCAGTTACCAACAACAGCAGCGTATAATCCCAGGAATGTTATGCGCTGCTTTGGCTTAAGGCGACGATGACGACAGCAGCCACCACAACAAGAACAGCAACAACAACAGCGACAATAGCAACAGTAACAACAACATTAGCAAAGCAGCGTATAATTTCATTTGCTTTTAATTTTCACTTACAAACTTTCAGCGTTGACGCGCGGAAGCTTAATCTTGTTGTCGCACTCGCATTTGTCGAGTCCTGATAAATGCATTAGTATGTGTGTCTGTGTGTGTGTGTGTGTGTGTGAAGGCGACAAACATAGCAAGAGCTAAAGAAAATGTGAAGCATGTCTGCAAACATATTCGTAGGTGACAGGAATCCGGAAGCAATTGTTGTCGCCTTCTATTTAACTTCTAGCACTTGTACGAGTAAGTCTGTTATAAGCGACTTTTTAAATCTAATTGATTAGATTTATTAAATCAGCTCTTCACCAGCTTTTCTGTATGCAATATGAAATAAAAGCATTACTCAAACGAATGCTGTATGCTGGCTGATTATATTGTTGAGGCATCTGAACGTGAACTGAAATGACAAATATTTATAAAAAAAAAACATATGCTTTTACTACTTGTTTATTTATAATTAACATTTATACTTTTTACGGTTATTAAATAAATTTTGAAACATTAGAAAGAAAGAATTTTCATAATCAATTAGTCAAAACAACATTTTTGAAAATTAGGAAACTACAATATTTGAAGACTTTTTCAGTCTTATAAGCTATACGTGTAGTTCAATGAGCTGGCAGAAATTCCACAATATGTGTTTGTTCCTGGATAGGTACTAGGTGGGAATCAACATTTATGATATAAGCATAATTCAAAATTTTTAAAAATGATTATATACTTTAATAATTATCCAATAGCACAGATCTTAAAAAAAGATAAAAGACTTACCAATTTCAGCTGTGTTTTCCTTTTTGTAATAGATTTTTATTTCTAAATATCTTAGTCCGTGGCGCTTAACTAAAAAGCCATAGGATATTTTCCTTATTCAAGGAATTTATAGTAGGTGCTCCCTACTGCGATAAGAGTAGCTCTACCTTCCAAATGATCTTTCAGTTCTGTCGTCGTGAAGTTTCAGGGCTTTCCCTACGGTGGACTGTACCTCCTTTATGATCCTTGAGTTCTCTCGTCTTTACTAAACGGAATGTGGATTGCTTTGTTTAAATACAAAATTTTCCTGTTTGTTCAGGAACTTTTTATCCAATAATGTTTTAAAATTAATAAAGAAACATTAAGAGATTGGGGAATAAATAACTGCTAATGGTATAATCGTATGCTACAAATTATCTGCCAAAGTCAATTCCAATTCGTATTATTAAATGCACCTTCGAATTTCTCGTACTACTTCTTCCTTATTATTAACCTGTTTTTATGGCACCTTTCAGAAAACATATTTCTTGTTTGTAAATCTAACCGAATAGTTCTCATGTGTAACCGTTTCGTAATGTTCACTGGGTTGCTGCTTATAATAAAAAATTTAGCACATAGAATTATGTTACATTCTGGTTGCCACACGCTTGTGGCGCATTGGAGAGCGAGTGAAAAAATCTGCTGCTTGCTTTCTTGGCAACAGGCGAGCAGCAAAGGCAAAAGGAAAAAAAGTAGCTGATTGTGCAGTTATATATGCTTGAAGCTTATACATAGTACTTGTAGTTGTTGTTTTGTTTATTGCTGCTGCTGTTTTTTATTGCACTTGCTGGCACTTGATGTTGCTTTGGTTGCTGTTATTGCTGTTGTACGATGTATGTATGTGTGTGTGTATGTATGTGTGTGTGTGTGTCATAACTTTGCTTGTTGTTTACGCTGTTCGTTTGTTTGCATGGCGCGTTTGTTTGTTTAGTCATTTTGGTTGTTTATTTTGTCATAATTTTTTTCTTTGCACTGTTGATTTTTTTTTCTTGTTTTTTGTGTGTGCTTCGTGCTTTCTGTTGTTGTTCTGGTTGTCGTTGTTATTGTCGCGGTCTGGCATTGTTTTCCCATGCGCACTGATTGAAATTAAGCGCATTTTGAAGTGCCCCATTTCGTAGTGCTGAACTCTGTTTAGCTCTCTGTAGCTCAAGTGGCGGCATCTGTGTGGCTTTTGTGGCTGCTGTGGCTTTTGCATTCAATTACGCCAAAACAGCCAACTAACTATTTAACAAGTGCCCCCTTTTGTGTTTAATATTTTAATGTGTGTATTTTAAGAGCTTTCCGGCTAACATAGCAGTATCAGGAAGTCAACCGCGAATGCTACATTTTCGTTAATAAATTCGATTTACTTTCGCTTTAAACTGAATTTGCTCTGAAAACTGTGCTTTCTTCTGTTAGTGTTTCTAATTTGTATTTTGAACTTGATATTGAAGCTTTAGATATATTAGGTCTTCAAATAATATCGTTATCGATGCTTTCGTGATTATAAGTTGATATATCGCTTCTTTCGTTATTTATAAACTAATTAGTCGTACTTCCATTTTCAAGAAACGGAAATACTCTAACTAAATCGAAAAAAGGTGGCAAAGGGCATTTCCCCAGCACTTTCTTAATGTTTATAATAGACTTTCTGCCGAGTCATTAACTGAAGCATTACTAGTCCTTTTAAACTATTAAGTTAGACCAAAAATTCTTAAATGCTCATAGAAAGCTGGACTGCTTTTCCCTTAACAAATAATTCACTTTTTCTGCATGTGAAACCTCAAAAGTGAAATTAAATTTCAAAGAAGCATGTCAGCATGCATTTAGTGGCCCAACACAGAGACTCTATGTTCATGTTCATTCTCTACAAAACGCAAAAGTTTATTTGATTCATAAACACAAGCAATTCATTAATCTCTTTCTAATTAAAAGAGAATGTGTGAAGTGGTTGAACAAAATTAACCAATTCATTACATTTTATTCAAAATTGCACAGCTATATACATACATACTACTTATAGTTTTGGTTTGAGTTTTATGAGTTTTTGGCTGCTAATTATTGGCAAACATTTGAGCGCATGTGCGGTATTCCAAATATGCACTGCGGCAGAGAGAATGCCATCAAAAATGCCTTGTTATTATGCGTATTTGTAATCAATATGAAGTGCTAATTTTGTGCTCTAGTTGGCAGTCAGTGCGTTGGCAGCTCATGCGGCCGCCCATGTGGGAAATGTGCCATATTCGGGCACCACATAGAAGGCTAAAGTTTGCGAGGCAATGAAAATCACAAACAGGCTGATCAGTGTGGGTCCAATGCCGGCAATGAACTGAAAATTGAAATGCGAGCCAAATTACCAAAAACGAAGAAGAAAAAAAAACAACTCCCTTAAACAAATTGATTCGAAATTGAACAAGTCTCGTTAAAACATAATTACCATATCCTTGCTGCGTATATTGGCTGAGGCAGCGGCTAATGCGTTCGGTGGCGTGCTGATCGGAAACAGAAATGCCATATTCAGAGCCAAACAAACCGGCAAAGTCAAATACAACGGATGTACGTGCGCTGTGATGGACTACAAATTGACCAAAATGGGTTAGCAAATTAGCAAACGGGCCTATGGAATCAGCATGCATTACAATTTCCATTAGAATCGGTATGATAATGTTGCACATGGCTATATTCGATGAGAACGCTGTCAGCATCAGTGCAATGCAGATGCAGAAGAACTGCAGCACGCAGGGCGGCACGAACTGGAGAGCGGAAAAGGAGGCGCCCACTAGAGCGGCAAAGCCAGATGCCTTGATACCCTCGGCCAGGGCCAAGCCACCACCTGTCGCAGGCAAAAAGATGCAAATGTACAATTTTTAATTGATAGCAGGGCAGTAATTGGTAATTCTGCTCAATAATAGTAAACGCAATATTACAGAGCTTTAGTTTCTCGATATATACTTTTTTTAAAAGCTAGCTCTTACAGTAACTTAAATTTTGTAGCAGGAGCTGCCCATTATTTTTAATACTCAGAGCTGTCAGCTAGATAGAATTTGGTCGCCAAATATTTGAAACATATGTAAGTTCTTGTTAATTTAAAACTTCAACTAATACACGCGTCATATTAATTCTCTAATAAGTTAAAAATATGCCTTCAGTTTAAACAGAATCTAGAATGCGCTCAAAATAAGGCATAATTCAAAGTTAAGGAGCTTTTCTCTGCGAAAATGCGATTTAAAAAGCGACTAAAGGCGCATATTTCAGTTTTTAGTACCTCGGCTTGCCGCGGACAAATTTAAATTTGGTTGCAAAAGGAAATTATAAAAAGTTTTAAAATCTGAATAATTTTTGACAGCGACTGTAATTATTATTTTATGAGTTTTTTTTTCTCAAAAATAATTATTATTAGTTAAGTTGTAAAGTAGAACTCAAAATACATCATTAAATTTTATGAGAATGAAAATAAATTAAAATTTTTAATTGATGGCAGGGCAGTAATTGAAGTTTTGCTCAAGTAAAGTAAGAGCTAGTTCTTACAGTAATTTAAATTTTATGCGTTTAGCTTAAATTGAATATAAAATGCGCTCAAAATTAGGTATATCTCTTAAGTTAAGGTGTTTTCACTTCTACCAGGCAATTTAAAATGCTTTTAGCACAAAAAACTCCAACTAAGAATATAACATATTTCTGTTTTAGAAACTTAATTACAACTAATCCTTTTAGTGCGGCTCGAAGCTGCAGAATTTTTTTTTGGTTGCAAAAGAAAATTCTAAATTATAGAAAGTCTTAAACTCTGAATAGTCTTTGAAAAGATCGCCTTAAACGGATCCAATAAGTGGTTAAAATGCATAAAGACTTAATTGATTGTATTTTAAATAGCCTTGTTATTCCTTTTTATAGAAATACGTAGAAAACAAGATTTGAACAATATTTTTGAAACTACATCTATACGAGTAGTTTTAGTTTTTGGACAGCTATCGCAATCCAATTAAAAGGAATACTTGCAAAACAACTAGGCTTCCTTTAACTGAAATATAATACTGGAACAATTGAAACGCATATATACCTGTAAGCAGCAGCAAGCCCCAGTGATTGTTGGCGTTCAGGAACTGCCAGGTGAGTAGCGCTGGCGTAGTGCATAGCTCCTCCAATCCCAACACGCGCCCACAGGTCAAATTTCGGAAGAATTTATAGTTGACGGGCAGCATAAAGAGCAGCACAACAATGGCAATGACCGGGAAAGAGTCCTTGACCATGCTGCGACCAAATAACGTTGCATAGAAAAAGGAAACTAAGTGAAATAGATGTCGTCCGGCTTACTTGTGCTGGAACAGCTGCGACCAGCCGCCATAGCTGCCCGGATGACGCGTGACCAGAAAGATAATCATGGCCAGAAAGAGCGTGGCCACCTGCAGCTCGTGGCAACTAATGGGTCCCAGTTCCTTGAGTCGCTTGTGCAGCACACATGCGGTCACATGCTCGTACTGGGCGCTCTCCCGCACTTGCCTCGCCTGTTTGCTGTCCGGCTTGAAAAGGCCAAAGTGCAGCCATTGCAGATAGAGATAGATGCACGCGATGATGAACAACATGGTGGGCATGCTGAATAGGGCGAAGGTCAGGAAGTTGAGGTCGTGCGAGTGTGGAAAGCGACTGAAAAATCGAAAGCCATTCAAAATTCAACTCGACTCCAATCCTATTAGATTCGAGTACTTACGCATCGTATACACCCTTAAAGCTGATATTTGTGCCGGTGCCGACGAGCGTGGCACAGCCCCCCACAGAAGCTGCAAATGCCACGCCCAAATAGTAGGAGATCACAATTTTCGATGGCTTGGGAAAGCTAAGCGAACATACAGAGAGAGACTGATTATTTTATTATAAAGTCATAATAATTATAGTCCCCCATTTAACAGCTCACCCATTAGCATGTGTGCCATCATTCATATTCTTCTCCTCCATCATCTCCAGCATATTTTCCTAAAAAGGAAAACACATTATTGCTGAAATTTAATAATATTTGAGAGCTTTTGAGAAGCAGACATACACTGGCCATTTCATTAAGCAGAGCTTTGACAACCGGGCACATCATCGAGGTGGCTGCAGAATTTGATAGCCACATCGAAATGAACATGGTTACCAGCATCAGGCTGAAATGCAATCTAAAAATGAAAACGTGTGATGGCAATGCACAAAATGAGTAAAAAATATCTTTAGACTGGAGCTCACTTTCTCGGACTGCAGCCCACACAGAGGATGACCCAAAGGGCGACGCGTTTGTGTAAATTGCAATACTCAATGGCCAGCGCTATAACCAAACTGCCAAAGAATAATACCAATGAGTTTGAAAAATAAACACGACACACATGCTCCGAATCCTGCAAACGAAAAAATGGAATACGATAGAAGATAGACTAGACATATGCTTTTGCGTGTTGTTGTTGTAGTTGTTGTTTTTATGAGCGCACCAAAATGCCCATTATTGGAAATAAAACAATCGGCAGCAATGAGGTCACATAGAGGGGCATCGCCTCAGTAATCCAGAGTATAGACATAAGGAACAGGACATAAGCGCAGCGATATTCCTGAAATGAAACGAGCTCCAGTTGAAATGTGACGCTCAAACGTGCGCTAAGTGTGTGTGAGTGTGTGTGAGGATGTGAGCTTACCAGCGCCGGCTCTAGGAACAACAAAGGCAGCAAAGCCAGTGGTGTTAGGAACATGACCAGACCAGCCCAATGAAATAGCAAAAAAAGTCGCAAGCGCTGACAAAGCGTCAGAGACGCCTTCTTCTCGGGCACACTGAAGAAGGATGAAGAGAGTTACAGGTTTTATGAGTTCTAGGTGCCTAGATTGTTTGCATTTATGTGTTTGTGTTTTAAAATCGCTTTTCACCTCCCTGTGTTCCTGTGCTTCCAACAATTGAAGCTGAACATATAGAAAGAAATGAACATAAACCTATTAAAGAAAGTATAAAGATCCGAACTACTTTACTTTTTGATATACGAGCATATGTCTTTACGTTTGATGAGAACTATTCATATTTATTTTTCTGGACACTATAATGCTTTTCAATTCTCGCATCTGCTATACAAAAAGTAAATAGTTCCTTTAAAATTGATGCCAAGGGAATTTTCGTTCAAATCAGACGCACATGCTTTTTCCAATATGAAGAGTTTTCCATCTTATACCTTATTGATAAACTTATTAAAAAGTGTTGTGATAGAACTGATAACAAAAAAAGTTATCTTGAAACTATAATTAGGAAGACTGGGAAGAAAGGCGTTTTGTTTTTTTTTTATTTTCTATTAAGAAGCAAATATTTGTTGAATCTTTTATGTCTAGCTTTTGAAAAAGGCTGAGCTTTCAATCACATAGAAAAACAAAGCAACGACGAAGTATTCTCCATAGAAGCTACACTTCATTTGGGATCAGTTAAATCTTTGGTTACAGAGTAGGTATTTAAATGAAATTGTAGCTACAATACAAAAAACAATTAATAGAAATGCGAAATGTCTTTTAAATTCACTCTAACTTTAAAGCATAAAAATAATTTCAAAAAAATGGTATACACATACTTTAATTGTATTTAACTAAATCCATGAGAAGAAGCAGTGGACTTCACAGTCCTTTTTATATATATAAAAAAAAAATAAACAAGAACAAGCACTGGCGGATTTTATGACACTATAGATTTAAGCTCAAATGCACATTAGCCATTCTCCTTATATTCGAGTATTTGGTGAATCCCATCAAGCTGGAAGTTTTTATGTTTGCACACAAATGGGAAAATTTTGTTTCAGGGCCAACACACTCGAGTTAAACGACGACACACGGCTGAGCACAAGTGGAGTGGGGAAGGAAATTTGTGATTTATAAGTTTATATGTTTTTTATTTCGATATTGCAATTCTTGTGTGCATAAACGTTGTATTTTCGTTTGTACCTCATTTTGGCCAATAACACTTCAGGTTTAAGACGGCACGTCCAGAGTGGTCTAAGCGTCAGGTCCAACTGCAGACGATGGGAGCGACTAGATATTGGGTACGCGCCCGAGCCTGGCTACGTTTATACAACTGTGTTAAGTGCGCCAATTGCCGGAACATAACCATAAGCAGCAGTCTACAAAATCACACACGCACACACATACACACACAAACGATAAGGCTGGCAGCCAGCCAGCCAGCCAGCCAGCCAGCCAGCCAGCCAGGCATTCACTCTACTCGTCGTACTTAGCTGGCCGTATTATTTACAAAATTCCAGTGGCGCAATAATTCCGGATTACGCATACGCACGGGTATCTTTGGTCGACGCAACGACTTGATTTCCGGTTGCGTTAAATCCGCTTGAATGCTCACATCGCACATCACCGTCGGCTTCTTGACAAAGTTCAGAGTGCTTTGGAAACGTCGCCGGTCCAGACCATAGAATTTTCCCCTTCCCACGCAGCTGGGTGCGCCGCTGTCGCGCAGAAAGAGCTCCGAAATGACGCTCTTATTGGTGGCTATCTGCTTGGGCTGAATGTACTGATCCGCAAACATAATCTCGTACTTGAGCAACATTTCGTATTTCTTTAGCAGATCCACCTCAAGCTCCGTGATGCTCGTCACGCCCAGATGTTCGCGTGTCCTGCGATCGAAGCAATGCAGCTTGCGTTGAGTTTTGTGCCTACGCGTTGGCGTAATCAGAAGGAGGACTTGGTTCAGCTGCTTCCTGCCGGTTAACTCGTGCAGTATGGTTTCGAGCAGTCCAATGGCCGAGCTTTTATTTGTGGATTCGGTGAAGCGTGGCGATATCACACGCTTCTCGATGGTATCATTCGAACCGAAATTGCTAACCCATCGGCCCAGCGCAACGAGATTTTGACTTTGGCGCATGCTTTTAGCGCTCCTCTCCCAGTCCGCCATTGTGGGCACAATTTTGTGTATGAGATTGGCCAAAATTGATAAAACTACAACTATATATTTATGGATGATAGATAGAAAAGAAAGGAAATAAATGCGACAAAAGTGTCAAAAAATGCTCACGACAAAAATTTTGTTATACCTACCTCTGTACTGTAGATGTTCCACACGATAAATCTATTCAAATACAGCTTTCTCAAATGAAATTCGAAATAAGCAAATGATTATAGAATCTGGATTGCTTTATTTTCATACAAATTTGTGGCTTGGTATTTTGGCGATACAAGTTGTTAGCTAAATACTATAAATATTTATGTGGTGGTTGATATTGGTGTACTTTGGAATAACTTCTATTTAGAAGTGAAAAATATTTTCACACTTTCCGATCTTAGCTTGATAGCCAAGATAGTCTTTTGCTCAATTCCTTGAATCGCTTTCGAAATGGGTTTTCAACTTGAAATATCACTTATTTATAATTTTTAGTTATTTATATTTGTGTCAACAAACATTGCCTGTCGCCATGGGAAAAATATATATAATATATTTAAAAAAAACTAGATATTTTCACACTTTCCGATTTTAGCTTGATAGCCAAGATAGTCTTTGGCTCAATTTCTTCAATCACTTTCGAAATGGTTTTTCAACTTGAAATATTACTTATTTATAATTTTTAGTTATTTATATTTGTGTCAACAAACATAAAAATTATAAAAAAACTTCATAAGTTAGGAAAGCCTGAGTAGGCGAAATTTAATCAAATTACAATAATATCTAATAAAGGTCTCCACACCGGAGGGGAGTCAATAGATCTACCAATATGAAAGAAAAACTCAACAGAGAGAAGCTTAGAAATTAATTAAAAGCTAGTTTAAAATAGAAGCAAAGAGAGAGAAAAAGAGATGCTTTTATTAAGGGAAGAGACAAATTCGTTGAGATCAGATGAAAATATTCAGAAATAAATCCGAAAAGTACAGTTGTACATCTATTAAGAAGAAGGAGCAGATAATTAAGATTAAAAATTGTTCTGTAAGGAACTGAGAAATTAAGAGGACCTCTTGATTGTTATGAACCTATTTTGTACAACTTAGTATAAAGATGGAGCAGCATTTAATATAACTATTTGGGCAGATGCATTCTGTCTATGTCTGATAAAGCATAAACATGTCCCAAGCCCAACAACTGATTGTAAGTTGCAGACACAGATTGTCACCAAGTGTTTAATAAAAGCAGATTGCTTTGTGCGCCTTCCGTTTAGTTGATGGTTAGGCTTCAAAATGTTATGTCATGCCTTTGCCGAGCACAGTTCATGCCATGCCAGGATATACATTGGCTCCAATGCTGTCTTCCTGGATTGGTTAAATGCGACGGCGTTGTCGAAGGAGGAGCGCTGGAGGCGGCAGCAGTCGTGCTGGCATCGCTTAATTATACTAAACCAAATCGATGAGGAGTATTACATTAGAAAGTACATCAAGTTAAGAACACAATAGTTAGTTAACTAGTTTGTATTGTTATAATGAATTGCATAAGTTTTGCAAACAAACGAGTATACACGCCTGCTTGATTCATGCGGCTGACTAAGTCGCTTGTTATTTTGCGCAAGGCACGTATTATATTTGAGGAATAGGCTTAATCATATATAGTACATACTAGGAATCAAGGCACTATAAAGCAATGCAGCTCTATTCAAATTGGCTTCATTTGCGAGCTACAGCTTGCCATGAATCGTTCCTCTGTCATTTTTATCGAATACATTGAAGATCTCATTGCTTTGGAGCGTCTGTCCAGCTGCTGCCAACGGGGCAGTGGGGAAGGGGAGCTTTATCTAGCAAAGGCTGTTGGTGCCTGGATTTGTGACTCGCTGCCCCGATCGACTAGCTGTGTCGGCTGTATATGGGAAAAGCAATACTGCGAGGCATATCTGAGGCAGCAGAGAGCTCAAATTCTGGAGCAGGCGCGAAAAAATGCGGCAACAAAATGGACATTTCGCGGCTGGATGTACTACATAAGAAAACTAATAGGGCGAGTGAGAAATCTGTTACGAAAGTCTTTAGACAAGTGGGGCAAAATGAAATGAAAGTATGTGAATAAATAAATAAATGATATTCGTTTTTAAAGAAAACTTCATTACTGACCCTTTTAAGGCCTTAAATCCTAAATCAAAGATGAACTGATTTTATTATTGAACATGATGTTTTTTTTATACAATATTAGCGTTTCCGGCTTGCTTTGCTGCGATACTGAATTGTAATGCTTTCTAATCTTTCCGACGCCACAACTTTTCCAATACCTCCTTTACATTTTTTGGCTTCGATTAGATCCTTGATTATAAGTAGTTGAGTACCCACTGTCTTCCACCTTTCGTCGTCTGTACAAAGGATGTCCATCGTCCCCTGTTGGTGTTTCTGGGATCAGACATGGATGCTCTTTCGCGTATTTGTCGAAGCCTCGACTTCCGTTCTTGTTTCGTTTTGATGGCTCTAGATGTGGATGCCCTTTCCCGCATTTATCAAAGCCGCAACTCCCATTCTTGTTCCATTTCTATGGCTCTAGGCGAAGAAGCCCTTTCGGAAAGCTGCATTTTTTGAATTCGATTTTACAATTTTATTTATTTACAAATGAAATACTGAGAAACAAAGTAAAAAGTGACTGGGAAACATATTAAAATGAGCAGAAATAAGCCAGAAAACGATGGTTGATTGCGTGGACGAATCGCCAGGAAACTTCACAGGATTACCCATTGGACTATTTTGAATATTGCCACAAAATTTGATCAACATTGGTTGAGCGGAACATACATACATACTTCCATTTTTATATATATAGAGTGTTACTTAGATCTCCACTATTTTCTATCTTCTACATCTACTTTCTCTCCCTGCAGCTCCCCTTTAATATACATTAAATATATATCTCCATCTCCTATCTCTCATTTGGTATTGACCATATTTATTTTAAACAGACCCTCTCTATAATGCAGCTTAAAATCCCACTGATGTCAGCATGTCTACAAAACGGCTGCTTTTAATCCACTTTCGAGCTTATCAGTTATGGGAGCACAGTTAACCCCAGAACAAAACCATAATTTCCATTGACATTCATGGCCAATGAAATCGTTAACCTAATTGCCATCTGCAACATTTCAACGCAACTAATGGCTTATGGCCCTCGGACATTTGGTAAATGTCACTCTTTCCAGGCATACACGTACACGTATTCAAAACGCTGGCACAGCTTTTGGAAAATTAAATAAATGAATTTATAACGCAAATGCTATCGCTGACTCGGCGAAAACAAAAAACAAGCACATGCTTACAAGTCAATCTGGTGGCCAACTAATGAAAACGTTTAGCGATAGCTAGAGGGAGGGGGGGAGGAGGGAGGAAGGCGTTGTAACTTCATTAGGCGCGATTGGACGATATATCATCAAAGAAGTCGAGCGCCGAAAATAAGAAATATCTTTAAAATGCAGCGAAGGCGTCGCTCTCGCTTTCTGACTGGCGGCCTAACATTTTTTCGAAACATAATCAATACCAAAAATTCGGGTAGCAACATAAATAAAGGGATATGCGGGTGAGTGCAGATATCGCTGAACATGGCAGAGGAATTTATTAGCCATCAGGCAACAAAAAAAAAAAAAAAAAAAAAACAGAACAAGAAGAAGACAAGTCAATGGTAGAAAAATGATAAAAATAAATAAGAGTCTGTTAAGTTCGGTCAAGCATGGCAAGCGTAAACAGTTCAAGGACTCGAGCGCCCAACTGGCAACCGCATGATATATTTTCCTGGGGGCTGTCTCAGCCAACCACCACCCCAACACCCCCAACCTGCAGGGCTACGACTCCGACTCCTTGGGCCGAATGGAAGGTGCCCTTTTATTGGGGCTACGTGCAAGTGCGCAAACAAATTTACATGACATTGAACTGTTTTGGATGCTTACCTTACCTTAACTTTACCTGTACCTTTACCTTTGCCTTTGCCGCAGTTTGAAAAGCATTATTGCAAGATTGATGAAAGTGTAACAGCAGCGCCCACTCAATAACTGACAGACCGACTGGATATCTTACCGACTTTTATGTCGAATGTATACATATATAAGTATGTATATATGTATGTATATAAGTATATCGCCCAGCTAGCATGCTTAGTAAGATAAATGACTTCGTTTTTCACTTCTTTTTCTTCAGTTCAGCTCAGCTCAGCTCAGCTCTGTTGAGCTCCTCCTCCTGCTCCTTGGCCAGTTGTTGGCCAAAATTATTGCGGTCGCTTGCCGCTACTTCGCCCTTCTTCGCCCTGCGTAACGTTTATAATGAATAATGAAAGCGACTGCCTTTTTCTTGCTTGGTTTTATTGTGGCCCAAACAATGAAACGCTCGGCCATTGAGTAAATTTGTTTGGCCGGGTGTCCATATCCATGTCCGTATCCGTGCCGGGCCGTGCCGTGCCGTACCGTGCCGGTGTCCGTGGCCATGTCTGTGGCTGATTTGGCCCGAGGGGCCAGCAATACTATGTGAGAACAACGTTCACACTTTGATTTGGCCAACTCGAATTAATATGCGTGTGTTTTGCGGGTATGTGTGTGTGTGTGAGTGTCGAGGGTTTATGTGTGTATTAATAGCTTTTATAACGCTTCCGGCGCGCCCCTTACACATAAATATAAGTGCGAGTATACGAGTAGTATATCCCTATTCCTCCTAGCCAAGTGGCCCACTTGGCTTTCGCTTCTATGACCATTTGAATTGTCAGCAACTTCTTTAGAAGCATTTGTTTATGTCGGGCTTCTAGATAAGTGTGTATTCGTGTGTGTGTGTGTGTGTGTGTGCGGCTTTGATTGAACGCTCGTCATAATTGCTGCCGTCAACGCCCATTTCGTTTTCTGTTGGCAGTTTTTGTTTTTGTTGTTTTTTCTCCTCTTGCCTTGTTGACAAATGCTTGACATCGATTGTTGCTCTTTAGGCAAAGCGATGGGGCTAGAATCCATCCCAGTTAGATAATACCCCTTCAAAAGAACGACTGTTGGATACATTTACGCAACATGTTCGCTTAAAGGGAGTGCCGCTTGAAGCAGTAGAAATGCTTTTTTCTCTCATTTTCTGTTGCTATGAATTGCAGGTTACCAGGTACATAATTGCAGGCACACAATTTTGATTCACAGCCAACGCAATTTAA